GGGCTGGTAGGGCCGGGCCGGGCCGGGTCAAGGTGCGCCGGCCGGGGTGGGGGCACCGGTCTGGGGCCTCCCGCGGGCTGCGGGGCGGCGGCCTGCCGGGGGCTCGGGGGCCGCGCTGAGGGGAGCCGGGATTACCTGGGGGGGGGAGGTTTGGGGTCCCCCCCCGCTGGCTGCGGGGCAGCAGCCCGGCCCGGCGACCTTGGGCTACCCGCATAGGGATGGGCCCGGGGGTCCTGCCCTGCCGGTCCCTCCGTCCCTGGACCCCGTCCCAGGGACCCACAGCGTAGCCCGGGGCTGGCGGGGCTGCCGTGCCGGGGAGGCCTCGTCCTGCGCCCTCACCCGGGGCTGGGGGCCTCTCACCGGGCCAGGGTGCGGTAGTGGGGGAAGCGCTCCTTGGCATCCCTGTCTCTCCAGGGCTGCTGTTCTCCTCCCAGAGACACCAGCATCCCGTGCTCCTTAGTGCGTGATGCGGGGAAGGTCATCCCCGTGCCGTGGAGGAGCCGCGGGAGCCCACGCCCAACATCAGCACCACATCTGGACATGGGCACCACATCCCTGCTGAGCTTTGTCCCCGAGGGTCCCCCCTGCGGTGTGGTCCCTGGCTGAGGCACACCAATGCTTGCCTGCCTTCCCAGCACTCTGTGTGCCTGCGGAGAATTATCCAGAAGAGGAGCAGAGGGAGTTGAGCCACCTCTGCATTTGTTAGAGAGATGCTAAGGAGGCATCTGTAATGCGTTTGCACGCGGAAGCGTTTTGTCTGTGATCTGATGGGCTTCCAGCTTTCATGTCCATGGGTTAGTACAGAAATAATACTTGAGATGAACACTTGCTGTTTCGTCTTCAAAGCAGTACGTTTTAGCATGGACCCAGTCTTGTTGAACGGGTAGATGTAGCCATTCTGTGCCAGGTTGTGATGTTATTTCCTCCTGGACATACCCGTTGCCTTGTGTGTGACTGCCAAGGTATGTAAAGTGACTCACTTGCTCCCCTGTCTTTGAAAGAAATTGAGCGTTAGGCTTTCCTAAGATAATGTACAGGAGTTTCAGACATCTGCTAGTGGCCTGGAATGAATTAAGATAGAGCATAGGCTCTCTTCAGAGGCGAAAGGGAAAGCTAGCTGTGAGACAGACATGAAATTACTGTGCTGCAAATTGAAAATGTCTTTGTGCAGATGACTTGTCAGCCCAGGTCTTGGGCATCCAGCCGTGGCCGTGGTTTGTGGAACAGTGAGCCTTGACGTCCTGGCGATGCAGAGACCGGCTCTGTGTGTGCTGATGGGGTTAAACACGTGCAAGATCCGGGGCTGGATACATTGGGGAGTTGAGGTCACCACCTTGCCCCTGTCCCAGGAAACCCTTGATCTAAAGCCACATTTATTTTGGAGATGGTGGGTGAAAACCCCTCTTCCTCAGACAGGCAGGGTGGCACCATCACTGCCGAGCTGAGGTCCCTCTCCAGTTCTCTGCCAGCATGGAGCATGCAGGATTTAAATGCTGAGACCCACAGGGGATGTGTCCACCCTGCTCCCTGTGGGTGGATGATGGGTGCAGAGGAACAGCTTGCCAGGCACTGCCTAACTTACAGTCTCTGTAGGACAAGTCAGAAAAATCATTAAGATTGCTGATATAGATATGTATTTTTTAGTTGCTGGAGGACACTGCTCCTGGGAACGTATCCAAGCAGTGTGGTGTTTCTGCAGCCCTTTGGCAGGGGCATAAAGAAATGTAATCTTAAGAGCTGTCAGAATTTGAGATTTCGGAAGCACTTGACCGTTGGTGAATGTTGAATGGCTGAATGATGCAATGTCCCTGAAGAGGGTGGTCAATGGTCAGGAGCTTTGGTGAGACATTTCTTGCTTTCTATGGTGGCTGATTCAGAAGTATTTCTCCCACTTTTCTGTTGTTTTTCTTCTATAATGTGTCCCGACGATTTGTTATCAGCCAAGCAAGGAAAAGAAATACAGAATCTTTATCTACATTTTACATTCCTGCTTTGGATTTATCTTGTGGAGGATGTTTATACTGTCTGCTGGATAAATCTCTCATTGCATAAGAGAATTACACACTTGTACAAGTGAGAAGTAATTGGTACAAGTGTTGCTCTAATTTGCTGTTTAATCAGAGCCAAATGCAGTCTGGGGAAGTGGATGCCATAATT